AGAAAGGGCTGTCTGCTCCAAGAATAATTTTAAAAGTCTGCGTATAAGTGGACCAATGCAGTTCAAGCCTGTGTTGTTCAAGGGCCAACTATATTTTGAGGATAATTGGAATGAGATTTCTTACAGCTTGAGCAGAGCGTCACCAGTGCAGAAAGGGGAATACCAGTAGGTACTCTGTTGATTGGAATTGGAGGTATTAGTATAAACTCATGACTTTTAATATATCTATTTCTATGTATATCTATATCTTCATCTTTCTAGCTGTAGACAGAAGCTTGGTACACTTCACCTTAACCCAATGATCAAAGTGAACCTCATCATTGATGGTAAAAATGCACATTATGGACCTGTTCCTTTGATGAACTAGGACACAACAGTCCTGTGACGTTCTTGTCCAAAAGCCATAAACTGAATCTCCTCGTGAGGAAACATCAGTCACACCTAAATTGAAGAACTTTCTACCAAATATCTGGCCTATCCTTTTCTTTTCTTTCTTTCTCTCTCTCTCTCTTTCTTTCTTTTTCTTTCTTTTCTTTCTTTCTTTCTTTTTTTTTTTTTTTTTTTTTTTCATGAGACAGAGTCTCAATCTGTTGCCCAGGCTGGAGTGCAATGGCATGATCTTGGCTCACTGCAACCTGTGCCTCCCAGGTTTAAGCAATTCTCCTGCCTCGGCCTCCTGAATAGGCTGGGATTAAAGGCACCTGCCACCACGCCCAGGTAATTTTTGTATTTCAGTAGAGATGGTGTTTCGCCATGTTGGCCAGGCTAGTCTCGAAGTCCTGGCCTCAAGTGATCCACCCGCCTCGGCCTCCCAAAGTGCTGGGATTGCAGGCGTGAGCCACCACACCTAGCCATGACCTATCCTTTTCAAAAATATCAAGGTCACAAGAGATGAAGAAAGATGGAAGAACTGTTCCCAATTAAAGGAGAATAAAGAGACATGACAACCAAGAGACATGACAACCAAATGCCATGTGTGATGTTGCATCAGATTCTGGGTCAAAACAAATTATTTTTCTTTTTGCTAAAAAAGGACATTATGGGCCAGATGTGGTGGCTCATGCCTGTAATCCCAGCACTTTGGGAGGCCAAGACAGGAAGATTGCTTGGAGCCAGGAGTTTGAGACCAGTCTGAGCAACATAGTGAGACCCTTGTCTCAATAAAGAAAAAAAAAAATTAGGCCGGGCGCGGTGGCTCACGCCTGTAATCCCAGCACTTTGGGAGGCCGAGGCGGGCGGATCACAAGGTCAGGAGATCGAGACCATGGTGAAACCCCGTCTCTACTAAAAATACAAAAAATTAGCCGGGCGCGGTTGTGGGCGCCTGTAGTCCCAGCTACTCGGGAGGCTGAGGCAGGAGAATGGCGTAAACCCGGGAGGCGGAGCTTGCAGTGAGCTGAGATCCGGCCACTGCACTCCAGCCCCAGTGACAGAGCGGCCGTCTCAAAAAAAAAAAAAAAAAAAAAAATATGTAACAAACCTGCACGTTATGCACATGTACCCTAGAACTTAAAGTATAATAATAATAATAAATAAATAAAAAATAAAATAAAATAAAATAAAAATAAAATAGTATTATAAGGCCGAGATGGGTGGATTGCTTGAGGTCAGGAGTTTGAGGCCAGGCTGGGCAACATAATGAGACCCCATGTCTACAAAAAATAAAAAAAAAAAAATTAAAATAGCTGGGCACGGTGGCACTTGCCTGTAGTCCCAACTACTTGGGAGACTGAAGTGGGAGGATCACTTGAGCTCAGGAGGTGGAGGCTGCAGTGAGCCATGATCATGCCACTGCACTCTAGCCTGGGCAACATTGTGAGACTTTGTCTCAGAAAAAAGAAAACAGTATTGTATTAATATTAAATTTCTGATTTTAATTATTGTACTTCAGTTATATAAGAGACTGTCCTTATTCTTAGGAAATACACACTGAAGTGTTTAGGAATCAAGGGGCATGATATCTGCAACTTACTTTAAAATGTAAAAAACTATATATGGGGAAAATGACAAAATGAATGTGGTAAAATATAAAACAATTGGGAAATCTGGGGAAAGGATAAATGAGAGTTATTTGGACTGTTCTTGCAACTTCTTACTAGCTTGAAATTATTTCAATTTAAAAAGCAACAAGGAATTTTGAAAATGTTTGCAAGAACATGTAGGAGAATAACTGTTCTTTTGGAGCAGTAAAAGATTTTTGAATTCACATATAAGACACCAAACAGGCCAGGTGCAGTGGCTCATGCCTGTAATCCCAGCACTTTGGGAGGCCAAGGTGGGCAGATCACTTGAGGCCAGGAGTTCGAGACCAGCCTGGCCAACAAGGTGAAACCCCGTCTCTACTAAAAATACAAAAATTAGCCAGGTGTGGTGGTGCATGCCTATAATCCCAGCTACTCAGGAGGTTGAGGCAGGAGAATCACTTGAACCTAGGAGGCGGAGGTTACGGTGAGCCTAGATCACACCATTGTACTCCAGTCTAGGTGACAGAGTGAGATTCCGTCTCAAAAAATAAAAAGTAAAATAAACCAAAAAACCCACCAACCATAACTGAAAGAATGATATATTTGAGTAAAATAAAATAACAAATTTATGTACAATAAAGAACTCTATATTGAAGTTAAAAGACAAACAACAATGAGAAAATATTTGCTATGCCTCAGATTAGTATCCAGATTATCTATCTATCTATCTATCTATCTATCTATCTATCTATCTACCTATCTATCTAAAAAAAAACTACAAATGACGGAAGAGAAAAATAAGCAAAGGATGTGAATAGCTGAGTCACAGGAGAAAGTAACAAGCATGGGAAAACATGACCAACTGTACTAGGAATTAGGGAGAAACAAATTAAAATAACAATAGTATACCATTCACACTTATTCAGATGATTATCCAAAATTATATAATTTGGTAATACCTATTGTTGAAAGGATGAACAGGGAAGGGGATTTTCTTAATTGGTTTATCTATCTGGAGATCGTCTAGCAAAATCTAGTAAAACTGAAGGCATGCACTCAGATATGTATGTAATTCCATCTTTCAGTATGTGCCCTAGATTATTGCCAAAGGAACAGGCAGAGTTGCTCACTGCAGCATTGTTGGTAACTAGTGGAAAATTGGAAACAATTTAATTGTCATCAACAGATGAGAGCAGATAGTTAAACAATTTGTGGTATAATCATACAATGCATTTAAAATTAATGAACTCTAGATGTGTTAATGTGTAGAAATCTCAATAACAGAATTTTATTATTATTATTATTTTCAAGACAGAGTCTTGCTCTGTTACCCAGGCTGGAGTGCAGTGGAGCAATCTCAGCTCACTGCAACCTCAGCCTCCCTGGTTCAAGCAATTCTCCTGCCTCAGACTCCCAAGTAGCTGGGATTTACAGGCATGTGCCACCACACCCAGCTAATTTTTGTATTTTTAGTAGAAATGGGGTTTCACTATGTTGGCCAGGCTGGTCTCGAACTCCTGACCTCTTGGTCCGCCTGCCTTGGCCTCCCAAAGTGCTGGGATTACAGGCATGAGCCACCGCACTCGGCCTCAATAACAATCTTAGGCAAAAAAAAAGCAAGTAGCAGAAATTTAGAATGTAAAATTTATAAACACAGAAACAATAATGGATATTGTTGATGAATATAAAAGGAGATACAGTCCCTGCCCTGGAGGAATTTGGGGGCATTTAAAGAAATGTCAAGTAAACAGGTGATTACAATGTAGTAGGATGAAAGCCACGATCAGAATAGACACCAAATACAGATGGAGGTGGCAGGAAGAAGGTGAAAGAATATACTGAAGAAATGACAATACCTTCCATGCCCCACTCCCACGCTGAATCAAGTCCTGAAAGACAAGAAGAGGTTACTTAGGTGAAAGATAGGAAGGAAGGGTGTTTCTAGACGATAGTGTTATTTGCAAAAGCCCCAGAGGAGAAACCGCAGAGCCTGATTTGGAAACTGCCAGTGGTTTCTCAGAGCTGGAGTAGATGGAGGAGGGGGCAAAGAAAGGGATGGAGGGCATTGGTAGGTGCCCCCTGACAAAGGGTCTTCAGACCAGGCTATAAGGAGTTTCACCGCCTTCTGAAGGCGGCGGGAAGGCTAGATTATTGAAGCAGAAGAGTAACAGTTGCATCATGAATTATAAAAACGACGGCTCTGGAGGCAAGATCAGTTAGTTTTTTTGTGTGTTTGTTTTTCTTTTTAAAGAAGAAAACCAGACAAGAAACAATGGGATCGCAGCTGAAATAGACGAGGTGCTGACTGAGAGAGAGTATCGAGTCCAACCTTTAGGGCTTCAGGGAGGGATTAGAGGTAGATGTTGGGAGAGGAGGTTCCTGGCTATCTTGGGGTGTACGATGGAGTGACAGGGCTTGCGTTTTGTGACACCTGACTCTGCCCCTGGCCACCCCTGATTGGACCTTACAAACGTTTAGTTCAAATACAAAAATGGGCCGGACACGGTGGCTCATACCTGTAATCCCAGCACTTTGGGAGGCAGAGGCGGGAGGGCTGCTTGAGCCCAGGAGTTCGAGATCGGCCTGGGCAACATAGTGAGACCTTGTCTCAAAACAAAAACAAACAAACAAACAAACAACAAATATAAAAATATCCAGAGGAAAAACTGAAGGCGGTGGTTACCATTACAACGCGTTTTCGTTAGGGGTATATGTGGCTTTAGAGTCATCTTGAACGTTTTAATTACAAAATAAAAGCTGAAGTCTATGCAACATAGGAAAACATCAACTTGTGTAACATCTCAGTGAGCACACGGGCGTCATATTATTTTCTGTACTTTGCTGTGTGTTTGAACCACATAGCAAAAAACTGTTGGCGACAAGAATTGGAAAAGCAAAGTACAAGAAAGGCTTTGAGTTCTATAAAGGGGTTAAACCAGAAAGCGGCGGGGGCAGGGAACAGTCAATCTTTGTGTGTGCACACTGCGTGTGCAGACAGGAGACTCCTCAGGAGACCAGGACCTGTCTGAGTGTGTGCGGGGATGAAGCGGGACGAGGGGAACTGGGGCGGAGGAGGAGGGGCGCGCCGCGGAGGTGCCCCCCGCCCCCCCACAATTCTTCTCCCCACCCCCCCCCCGCCCCTCCTCCCTCAGTGACGCCGCTTCCAGTCTCCAGGCAACGTGGGGGCCAAACAACGCGGCCGGGAGGCGGCCGCTGCCTGCCGGGCCCTCTCTTCTGGGACTCTCGATTTTCGGACGCTGAGCGCCATGGCCCTGCCTCTGCTGCCGGGCAACAGCTTCAACCGCAACGTGAGTAGGAAGGGCGTCCGAGGTCACAGCTCCCGGCTGGAGTCTGGGGTCCAGGCAGGGTCGTGGCGTGGCCACTTCCGCGGACTCTCCTGGAGACCCGATGCTGCTGCCCTGGGTTGGTGGCAACTTGGACCAAACTTAATAGGCTCCTTCTCCCATCTCTCCAACTGCATCTGAATGTTTTTCCTAATTTAGAAACATATATATAGACCCCTTATAGGTGACAGGACCCTCAAAGGTAACGAATAATAGTGACGATAACCATTGCGGGTTTAATGTGTGCCAGGCGCTGTGCTTTAATCACCTTATGCAGCATCCAGTGTCCCAACAGCCCTTTGAATTAGGTAGTTTTTATTCCCAGTTACTATTGAGGAAACTGAGGCACAGAGCTACACAGTCTCAGTGGTGAAGCTGGGTTTCTTTCAAACAACCTTGTCTCCACAGCCCAGAAGCCTAATCATTATCCCCCGTATCCTGTGTGAAAAAAGATACCATTTCAATTATCAAATCTAAGAAATTTGGCACTTATCAAGAGGGGTAGGTGGCAGATAAGAGTGGCAGCCTGTAAAGTTTACTCCCAAACTTTATAGAGACAGGCACCCAAACTTGGAGGGATTTTTTTTTCCCCTCTATTTATAATTGGGAGGTTGGGAGGGGTTCATTTCTTCTTCTTCTTCTTCTTCTTTTTTTTTTTTTTTTTTTTTTTTGAGACGGAGTCTCACTCTGGAGGCTGGAGTGCAGTGGCCGGATCTCGGCTCACTGCAACCTCCACCTCCCAGGTTCAAGCGATTCTCCTGCCTCAGCCTCCTGAGTAGCTGGGATTACAGGCGCCCGCCACCACACCCGGCTAATTTTTGTGTTTTTAGTAAAGATGGGGTTTTACCATGTTAGCCAGGGTGGCCTCAAACTCCTGACCTCAAGTGATCTGCCCGCCTCGGCCTCCCAAAGTGCTGGGATTACAGGCTGAGCCACCGCGCCTGTCCTGGAGGGGTTCATTTCAAAAGAACATGAACGTACAGAACAAAGCAACACAACACAAAAAGCCCTGAGCATGAAAGAACTTTTGACAATAAATAGCACCTCATTTAAACGACAGAAGGAAAATGATTCAGGCTTTTGTTTATACTGGTTACTACTCTTCACTTGGGTCAGCCATCTGTGTCTGCAGGAAAAGCTAATTCCCAATTAGATGGGAGGGAATTAGATGGAGCCACTCAAAGCAATTGTGTAAACCTTTGATAACTTTAGAAAGCAGGCAGCAGATTGAAGTACTTGACTTTATAGTTTCCAAACAGTGTCTGTATCTAAGTTGTTGGCCCTAAAGTACCAGTTTTCTTTGTAGCTTCAGGTCATTGAATTCTGACCCCCACATGTCTGGTCAGTCCAACTTTGAACACTGATTTGTGCATTTCTTGGTTGATGGGTAGAGGCTGGCCTTCCAGCATAGCATTGTCCTTTGGTAAGTTTAAGCCAGCCACGCAAATAAGAAAGGTCCCTGAGAGACGGGACATGAAAACAGATTCCAGAAGTAAAGAAGCATGCTGTGTAAAAGTAATTTTAATAAAAAACGAAAGTAAAGCCTACAGCTTTTTGCCCAGCAACACTCTGATTACCAATGCCTGCCTCCTGCAGAAGTATCATAGCTCTCACGTGCAGTGATTAAGGATGGGAAGGAAAAACAGTGGATGGATGAGATATTTATAAATCTGCAAGGTTCTGAGTGTATTTTTGCTTTTTAAAAAACTTTTAAGATCATGAAGTACAACACATATACAGAAAGATGCACAATGGATGATCACAAAATGAACATCAAGAAATTAAATATGGGGGCTGGGCACGGTGGCTCACGCCTGTAATCCCAGCACTTTGGGAGGCAGAGGTGGGAGGATCCCTTGAGCCCAGGAGTTGGGGACCAGCCTGGGCAATATAGTAAGAACTCGTCTCTACAAAAAATTGAAAACATTAGCCAAGCATGGTGGCACATGCCTGTAGTCCCAGCTACTCAGGAGGCTGAAGTAGGAGAATCACTTGAGCCTGGGAGGTTGAGGCTGCAGTGAGCTATGATTGCATCACTGCACTCCAACCTGGGCAACAGAGCCAGACCCTGTCTCAAAAAAAATAAATAAAATAAAATATTACCTGTTCTCCAAAAATATCACCCTTGACTGGGGCTGCTAGATTTAGCAAATAAAAATACACATCTTAAATATCGCATGGAACCTGTTTATGGGAAAGGATTATTGTTTACCAAATTTAACTGAGCATCTTGTATTTTATGTAACAACTCTACCTATGAACCTTTCTGTTCATTACGCCTTCCCTGCTCTCCAAATGTAACCACTGTTCTGGCTCCTATCACTATAATTAGGTTTTGCTTGCCTTTGAACCTTTTATCAATGGAAATGTTTGGTGTTTATTCTTTTGTGACTGGCTTTTTTAGCTCAACAGTATGTTCGTTAGATTTGTCCATGTGGCTGTCTGTAGAGGTAGTTTGTACATTTTTATTACTCTGTAGTATTGCATTGTATGATTTTCACATCATTTATATATACATTTTACTCTTGATAAATATTTGGCTTGTTTGGGGTTGTTAAGAATAGTTTTACTGTGACTATTTTTGTTCGTGTCTTTTGGTAGGATTGCTAGATCATGCAGTATTCATATGTTCAGCTTTAGTGGATGCTGTCAAAGTGATTATACTACTTAAATTCCCACCAACATTTTATGTTCCTGTTGCTCCACATTCTAACACTAGGTATTGTTAGTCTTTTAAATTTTAGATTTTTTGGTTGGTGGGTATAGCAACTCTTTGCAGTTACAATCTGTACTTCCTGATTCCTAATGAAATTGAGCATGTTTTACACATTTATTGGTCATTTGTATGACCATTTATTGGTCACTACTTTTTTTTTTTAGACAGATTGTTGCTCTGTTGCCCAGGCTGGAGTGCAATGGCGCAATCTCGGCTCACTGCAACCTCCGCCTCCCGGTTTCAAGCGATTCTCCTGCCTCAGCCTCCCGAGTAGCTGGGATTACAGGCATGCGCCATCACGCCTGGCTAATTTTTTTTTTTTTTTTTTTAATTTTTTAGTAGAGACACAGTTTCACCACGTTGGCCAGGCTGGTCTTGAACTCCTGACCTCAGGCGATCTGCCTGCCTCAGCCTCCCAAAGTGCTGGGATTACAGGTGTGAGCCACGGTGACTGGCTTTATTTGTATGACCATTTATTGGTCATTACTTTTTTATGTAGCACCTACTTATCTCTTGTCTAATTTTTACTGGGTTGTTTGCCTATTTCTTAGTGATTTGTAGAACTTATATATATAAATTTTGGATATTTTCTTGTCTGTGGTTGGCCTTTTCCCTCTCTTAATGATGTTTTTGATGAATACTTTTTGGAAAAGATCACTCTTTGTCCACATCTCTGCAGAGCCACTTTGTCAAAAATCAAACATCCATCTACGTGTGGGTCTATTTCTAGACTCACGAGTATTTAAAACATTTATTTACTTTGTGCCTGAGAACAATGGGAGTGGGTGTGTGTGCGTGTGTGTATGTGCATGTGTAATAGAGAATGACAGTACCTTGGACTGTCTGTCATTCAACAAATCAGTATCTATTTATTTCTTGAGTATCCTAGTATGTGCCAAAATTAGGTGACTGCATTTAAAAAATTGTTACACTAGCCTTGGTACTAAATGTACTATGTGTTTCCCACAAATTAATATTTTGAAAACTTGTACTTAGTTAAAAGATTGGATGTTCTCTGGCATAGAATGGTCAGAAAGTCAGTAAAGCCATATCTCGCCTTTTAATCCCCCCCCCCCACCCCTGCTTGCTGAATTAAATTACCGAGTGAAAAACCTTGGCCTCCTGTAGATAGCATAATTACTTGGCTGTTTGGATTTAAAATTATAACACAGCTAACTTTTATTGCTTTTCCATATAAATTGAAAAGGAACTTATGTGCCCCTTACTTAGCTGCCAGTGGGCAGTCATAAGCAATAGATTGATTTCTGTCCACGGCTAGATGATATGCAACCTATATTTCTCTCTCTGAAATATAAGAAGTATTGTGCCTTCTAAAATATGAACATTTGTACCTTTGATGACATTAGAATTATTTTGATATAAGTTGAAAACCTTAGGGAAATATCACAACTAAATTCCAGATACACCGTATCTTTTTTCCGACAATTTCCATGCTGAACTTGTATTGAGCAAGAGAATCTTGGGCATATTATTAAAATTGAAAATATTAAAATTAAAAGGGACATTTCCAGCCAAAGCCAAAAATCCTTTCTACAGTATTTTGGACAGATGATTGTGTGGCCCATCCTGATCCTGAGTGTCTCTAATGAATGATGAGGAGTTCACTCTTTCTGCTTTTTTTTTTTTTTGAGACGGAGTCTCGCTCTGTTGCCCAGGCTGGAGCGCAATGGTGCCATCTCGGCTCACTGCAACCTCTGCCTCCCAGGTTCAAGCGATTCTCCTGCCTCAGCCTCCTGAGTAGCTGGGATTACAGGCGTGTGCCACCATGCCTGGCTAATTTTTGTATTTTTAGTAGAGTTGGGGTTTTACCATGTTGATCAGGCTGGTCTCGAACTCCTGACCTCAGGTGATCCACCCTCCTCAGCCTCCCAAAGTGCTGGGATTACAGGCATGAACCACTGTGCCCGGCCGCTCTTTCTGCTTTTAATGAAGCTACCTTGACACCATCTTAGGAGGGTTTGCTGTAAATAGCCCACCATCTAATTTGTAGTGAAGCAAAGTCCTCCTTAAGAAGAAAGAAAACATATTTGAATTCACAGCAATTAAAAAAATAATAATAAGAATGTAATGAATCATGACCAGCATTTGGTTTTTGTTTTGTTTTGTTTTGTTTTGTTTTTGAAAAGGAAGAAAGAAAAAGAAGAGAGTGGGATAGAATAAAGAATTAGAGTATATTATGCTTGACAAGAGTTAAGTGTTTCACGGACTTTTTTGTCTTTCCTGTGTG